TGTCAGGATCTCCAATCTCATGAGCAAGTGGTTCGGGGACGCCCAGAAGCTCGGTGAGCGATTATACTCTAGTGCACTGGATATCCAATTATCCACCGGTTTTGAATCCATACCTATTATACTAGTCTTCTGCCATATTCTTCTTTTCCTTTTGTCTGTGTATGCCATACACTGATCAACCGATGTTTATCTGTTATTATTATTGTTGTTGTGGCAGCGGCAGCTGCATTTTTAGTCCCATCGCTAATCCAGCTACCCACTAGAACTTATTTGCTCTACAAACGATGGCAATTGCATAGGTTTTTGTGTCAGGATGCTATAGAAATCCGCAGATTTTGAATCCCTACCATTTATAGAAGTTTCTTCTTCTTTTATGTTTATAGTTTGTTGTTATTGCTGTTGCAGCAGCGGTTGTATTGCATTGAGTTGCATTGCTAATTTAGCTGTCCACGTATTTACTAGTTTAGAATTAGAATTGATGCCAATTGTATTGTTTTTTTTTGTGGGTCTATGCTATACACTGATGTTGGTATGTTATTGCTGCTGTGGCAGTGGCTGCTGTATTTAGTCTCGCTCACAAGCTCCAGCCCGCTATTATCTTCATTGACGAGGTTGATAGTTTCTTGGGGCAACGACGGACAACCGACCATGAAGCCATGACTAATATGAAGACAGAGTTCATGTCCCTCTGGGATGGCTTCACTACCGATCGTGAGTCCTCTTATACTTTACCTGCTTCCATGAAAGTTGATGTTACATCATACATTTGTTGACAACTATGTGGACTTGTGAAACATTGCTTACTGTGATGGTATAGTTGCAATAATTCTTTATGAGCATGCAAGCAGCATAACCCTACTACAAATAAATCTTGATTGCCGACACCATCCATGTTTGTTTTTGTTTGCATCATTCCATTTGTTATCGATAAAATCTTCCTACTGCATATTATTGCTGAATAATGCAATGGGTTTTTCCATTTTTCATGTTTTAAAATAAGATGCACTCTCCCTGTTTTTGTTAAATTAGACATTCCAGAGACTTAAGCAACAGATATAGATTTGTGCTTTGTGTGAATATAATAATCCCACAGCAGCCACCACTTTCATTTTGCTTCCATGATTGAAGTCTATAAAGACAGACGTGTGCTTTAAGTCTTGTGGGAATAATAATCCCACACCGGCCATATGTTCTGTTGCTCTTAACAAACCCGTTTACACCACTGCTCTGGCTTAGTTTGTGTTTCTTATTTGCTCTATTTGAGCTAGTTTATAATGCCAACTATATCCCGGTATGGCGCTGGTGATGGGGAGAGCGCAGGGGAGATAGCAGAGGCACACAAGAATTGGGATTAGAGCGGAGGGGATATCGACCGAATAGCCTCTGGAGACCCAGAGCTCAGTCGATCAAAGGAGAACCCCCCACCCTAGGAAATTTCTTCTTCTCTCGATAAATCTTCCCTAATACAAACTATCAGCCTTTATAGATGAGGCTTTCGTGAAATCACGAAACAAATCAATCTAGGATACTGTTTATTTCTAATTTACCCCCTATATTACTGGAGGACTCTGCATGCGCCTGCTTGCCTGGAAAGGCCTCTGCATGCGCCTAACTTGCCTGGGAAGGCCTCTTTTTGCGCCTATAAGTCTGGCCCACAAAGGAGTCCACAACATATCCATAGATGTGTAAATAGGTTTAGTAATATCATGACTTCTGTTGTATATCTGCATGGACTATGGAGATTCTTGCAGCCTTGACATTACTGGTTGCTGGTTGGTTACTGTGATGATATTTCCCCTGGGGACTGGCCAGTGGTCTGATTGCAATGGTTACCATGGGTATTTTTATCTCCTGGTTATCACATTTTTGTTTAGATATCCCTTGGTCGTACTTACATTCATTGTCTTTATGCCTGGTCATGTGGGACGATACAAGGACCCTTGTGGTGGCCAGGGGGACACACACACACACACACACTCTTGCAAAATTGTTACTAGTTGCCCCCTTCATTAAATGATTTCTGGCTCCGTCTCTAATGAACAGGGAGCAACTAGTGTACATTAATTGATGCTAGTTTATATGAGAATAATCTGCTTTGGAACACATTATTTGTCCGTACTGTCTTGATGAGATTAGTGTTGTTATTGACATCGAGATATCCGTACATCACACATGCTTGTGACTCTAACCACAATACTAGTGTGATAGTAATACCATGTTTTCAGAATTTTTAATGCTGAAACCGTGTAAAATCCACAGAAAGCAAACTAGTAGTTTAGTAACAACAAATGTTTTCAGTTTATCTATCCATTGTTCCTTGTAAAATAAGACAATTTCCTCTTATTTTTTGTGTATTTATGTTTCACCTTTTTAGGAGAAATTAATTGTTGTAATGGTGAACTTGCCAAAGGCCTGTCGCAGTAGCTTTTATGGTCGCTCCTTCCCTTCGCTTTCTAGCGGGAACTGTTTCATGGTGTGTGTGTGTTGTGTCATTGGTGTTGTACAGTTGAGTAATAATCTTCTTAAATGAAATGAAATACAGCGCTCCTGCATGTTCGATAGAAAAGAAAGGTCCCCCCTCCCTATGCAAATTGTTAAAATCATTGTAGGGCAGACTTTTGTCATGAAAATATTTGCAGCTTCAACAAACCATGGAAACAAACGGAAAAATTGTTGCCATGGCATGGGCCCTATTTCTTTCTGCCTTTGCCTGTTAAAAGTAACTAATTCTAGACTTGTGTTCTTTCTCCATTGGATCCATACTAATATGTATAGGGTAACACGTAGGTTTTTATGCTGTTCATCAATAACCAAATGAGTCCCTAATCCAGCATGATTCCCCACTATTTCTTTCCGCCTTTGCCTGTTAAAAGTAACTAATTCTAGACGTGTTCTTTCTGCATTGGATCCATACAACAACAACAACATAGCCTTTCAGGCCCATGCAAGTTGGGGTAGGCTAGAGTTGAAACCCACCAAGAGCCCCAAGTTAACACGTAGCTTTTTACGCTGTTCATTGGATCCATACTAATATGTAAAGGTTAACACGTAGCTTTTTACGCTGTTCATCAATAACCAATTGAGTCCCTAATCCAGCATGATTCCCCAGTACTTCAGCAAAAAATAAATGAGTTGGTCACGTGGATATAGGGATTGCTTAACAATTTTTTTCTCATCTGCATGAATTTATGTGTCTAAGGCGGACATAAGAAGTCAATACAAATATATACTTATTTGCTTGATATCTTACTGGTTATCACCTGAGATTTTTCTTGGTGGCATATCTTTCTGAATGGTTGTTATTTTGACATGTGGATATGTAAATCATTTACGGTAACTGTACGAACTCACGTCCAATATGGTACTGATCAGTACTTAATGATAACTTGTATGTCTTTTCAGAGAATGCTCGTGTGATGGTCCTGGCTGCTACAAACAGGCCATCTGAGCTAGATGAGGCCATCCTGAGGCGCTTTACTCAGATATTTGAAATTGGAATTCCTGTTCAGAGTGAAAGGAGCAAGATACTTCAGGTTGTGTTGAAGGGAGAAAATGTGGAGCCTAATATTGATTACGATCACATTGCAAGATTGTGTGAGGGCTTTACTGGGTCAGACATTCTAGAACTGTGCAAGCAGGCAGCATTCTACCCAATCAGGGAGCTATTGGACAGTGAGAAAACGGGAGGAATTAGATGTGAGTATTCTTCTGTTTCCACTTAACCTGGAGCTATACAGGATTTCATGCTGTTTTCTGAAAAATCATTGTTTAAACTCATGGCTAAACTAGAACTCATGGATAACACACACACCCTCGCCCCACACACGAGTTGTGGATCTGCTTTCAGCATGTGTTCCTGGGTTGTCCTTTTTCTCAACCTATAAGAAAATGCCTTGGTCGAGGCTTCTTTGACATAGTGCTAAACTAGAATGCAAATTCACTTCTGATAACTCAACAGTGTTTTCTATAATCTGTTTAACATAATGATGTTGATTGTTACCTTGGAATATGTCGATTGTATATGTTGGATCCGTGGATAAAATTCAGATAGAATTGTTATTGGACTTTAGGTTATCTGTCTGTAGTTGGAAGTCATGCTGTTTATATTTGGATGCTAGTGAAGAAGTAAAGTTTGATTACTAGTCTCACTGGTTTTGGTTCTTCTCTTCCTACTGCTGTTTCAGAAACCTAGACCCTTGAGACAATCCGACTTGGAGAGAGCCTTATCAATGTCTAGAAAGGGCAAGAAGGCTGCAAGTACAGGACTACAGTCACCCTTGTGGGTTCGGCCGACAGATTCAGACGACGATCAGGTACAGAACGCAATCTTTGAGATATCAAAGCTGATGTCTCGAATAGTTCAGAACAGTCAGTCAGAACCGCAAGAGCCTTCTTCACCTTAAATCTAAATCCTTTTGCTAGATCTCGTGAAAATCTACAGTGGAGTAAACGCAGGCATTACGTCGATACCATTAGGTTTTCTTGTGCAGCTTGCAGAGGTTCAGCATATGTATTATTTCTTTTTGCTTGGCGAGGCTGCACCTGGTTTTTTTGAAGCTAACTGCAGCTGGCAAATTGGCAAGTGTGCCCTGGTGTTTAAGTTGATCATTCAAAATTCATGCCCCTGTGGCCGTAAACTCAGAACTCCATAGTTGTGTGGCCAACAATTGGTCTTGGTTGACTTGTATTTTATCTTCAGTTTGACTACTGTAGGGTAGCGAATTACAACATAATGCAAAAGGGGCCCTTCAGTCTCATCATATGCCCAAACGTGCTTCGATTTTTGTTTGGTCTGATTATTGTTTACATAATACATGTATAACGTTCCTTTTATCTTTTATTATCTCTGTGAAGAAAATTTCTTTCGGAGCACAAACTGTTTGAACTTAGTCGACACTACGAGGAACGCTGGTGGAAGCAGACTGTTCTGCGAAATATATATTTCCAAATTGAATTTCCATGAGCTGTTGTATGTATACGCAATTATGCATGCACCACCATCACGTGCAGGAGCAGCTGCTTGCTCTACGCAAGGCGCTCGTCTCCATGATGGATATCTCATCAGCGAGCGACAGCTTGGTGCCCTTGAGAGCCAGCACGTCGGCGGCGGCGCCGGTGGCCTCGTCTGGTGCCGCCTCCAGCGTCTTCCTGGACACGTTGGCGTGGATCTCCTGGAGCAGAGTGAGGAAGGCGCGCTCGACGTTGTCCCCGCTGAGCGCGGATGCCTCGGAGAAGAAGAGCCCCTGCTCCTCAGCGAAGGCGGCCGCCTCGTCTGCAGCCACCGTGCGCTGGCCGGCGGCGCCGGCCAGGTCGGCCTTGTTGCCAACGAGCATGACGACGATGGACTTGTCGGCGTGGGCGCGGAGCTCGGCGACCCAACGCGCGGCGTGGTCGAAGGTGCGGCGGCTGGTGACGTCGTAGACGAGCATGGCTCCCAGCGCGCCGCGGTAGTAGGCGCTGGTGACCGCCCGGTAGCGCTCCTGGCCGGCGGTGTCCCAGATCTGGGCCTTGACGCGGTGGCGTGCGATGTCGATGGTGCGCGTCTGGAACTCGATGCCGATGGTGGACTTGGAGTCGAGGAAGAACTCGTCGCGGGTGAAGCGCCCCAGCAGCTGCGTCTTCCCCACCGCCGAGTCGCCGATCACCACGATCTTGAACACGTAGTCCTCCTCCATCTCCGTTACACACTACTCCTACTCCTATATCCTGCTTGCAGCTGCAGCAAATGACTTCTCCGGCCGTCTCGCACTTATTAGCTTGTATTAGATGAGAGAGATATATATATATATATATATATATATATATATATATATATATATATATATATATATATATATATATATATATATATATATATGTCATCTGTGTGTATATGCATAAACATATATGTGCTGGTGATGACATTGGCATGCATAGAGAGGATAGTGGTGGTTGAGAGGGAGACAAGGAGAGGTTGCTCTCGCTCTTGCTATTGGAGGTGCTCATCAGCATCTTTCATAATGGAGACTGCTGCTAGCTGATATACAGCCCTTTCGTTTGGCTGTGGCTTGTTGTAAATGATCGTAAATTTTCAATCGGAATAGTATTTTTCTCTCACACAAACCAGCCCGCAGTACTTTTCATGAACCAGCAACGAAACGAACCAGCCAACCGAACATGCTGATAGAGATTAAGGCAAGACTACTTAACTTGGTGGACGTTTGTACTAGTCCTACAGCGAGTATGGTACATGTATATGGGTTTTGCTACCACTCCAATCGCCATCCACTTGGGTTTTGCTACAAATAATAAATGACGGTGGAAGTCTGGAAGATAATACGAATCAAAATACATGCAAGTTATCGTACGTAACAGGATGATCTCTCTCTCTCTCTAGTCATATACAAACGCAAGCATATATCAGACGGGAATCGGCCAATGCAAGCAGCGATATGTAGATGTCATGTCTTACGCAATTCTTAACCTAATCATGTACTTATATGACATTAGCGGTTAGGTTTGCAAGTGGCGACCTGAATAATAAATTGAAGCAGAAATCGACTTTGATGCGCAATCCTAACTGCTACTCTGTAGACATTATGATTATGGGCGAATTTCTGGTGAGTCATTATAAAAGATTGGAATTCCTTGTGAGCCACTGAAAAAGTTCGGAGGACTTCAGCGCCACTGCTCTATTTTTTTTTTGCCCTCCATGTCACTGCCGTTAGATTGAGCTCTAACGGTGTCAAACTGTAGATGTGAAAAGTTAAAAATACCCTTAGGTCTAAATATGCCATTAATTTTTTTTAGCATCTTAGCGACTTCAAATGAAAAAACTCAAAATTAGAAAGTTGTAGATCTCGTCGAGATCTATAATTTTCATATAAAAATTATCTTCATTTAATTCCGCAAAAAAAGATATGATTCGATATGATTAATATATCTTAAAAAAATCATATCTTTTTTGTGGTATTAAATGAAGATAATTTTTATATAAAAATTATAGATCTCAACAAGATCTACAACTTTCTAGTTTTGAGTTTTTCTATTTGAAGTCGTTAAGATACTAAAAAATTAATGGCATATTTAGACCTAAGGGTATTTTTGACTTTTTACGCCTGCAGTTTGACACCGTTAGAACTTAATTTGACGGCAGTGACATGGAGGGCAAAAAAAAGTTGGAGCAGTGGCACTGAGGTCCGCCGAACTTTTTCAGTGGCTCACAGGGAATTACGATCTTTTTTAATGGTTTACAAGGAATTCACTCTATGATTATAACTAGCAGTGTGATTACGTCTCTCCCTCTTAACAATCTTGGTTCCTTGGTTTCCAGTTGCTGTCCTGCCCTGCTTAAAACGACTCATCATCAGCATGATGAGACTGTCAGTATGCATAATGCAGATATATATAGGTCATTACAGGATCCAGTATCTTTGTTCGTCGCAGGCAGTTGATCTTACCTCATTTAGAAACTCCAGGGCGTGATCATCGAACTGCTTGAAAACAAAGCGTGGTGGTTCAGGGAATCAGGGAGTGGTTTGTAGCCAAGCAAACCGACCAATTACTAAAAGCTTCAGCAGTTGCTGCTGATGCCAGCTACTGCTGCTGAACAAGAACAATGTGATGATGTTCAGATGTGTTGACATATTAGAAGAAATGCTAGTTTTAATTAATACTGGAGTATATAAGATGGAAGAATCTCCATATACTAATAAAGTAGTACTAATAATCAATGGTAACACAACGTTCCCTAGGCGCCATTAGACAGAATTTGCATGTAGCAGAGCACAAAGCATGTATGCATGGCGAACGAAGGCCATGCACAAGTACAAATGCTCGTGGTCGTGGAATGTTTTGACGAATACAAATGTTCAGTCTGACGGGGATACTAGCTTAACCAGCAGGACTAGTAGGCGTGGCGCGGCTGGTGCGGCAGCAGGTGGTCGCAGATGGCGGCGAACTCGGCCAGGGCCTCGGCGACCATCCCGGTCTTGCCCTTGGCGACGAGCATCCTGACGAGCGCGGCCACCCGCGCGTCCAGCTGCTGCCCCGCGACCGGGGCGTCGGCGTCCGCTTCCAGCCGCCGCCCTGGCCGGGAGTGGAGGAGCGCGCGCGCGTGGCGCGCGGCGCGGCGCAGCGTGCCGGCACGGGCGCACGCGTCGGCCAGCGCGGCCGCGTACCCCGTGGCGGCGCGGCTGGAGGAGCGGGCGGCGGGCGGGGCCGGGGCCGGGTTTGGGGCGAGCGCCGGGGACGACGACGAGCGGGGTCGCGCGGCGACGGCGAGGCTCAGGCGCGCCGCGGGAGGAGCCTGGGCGTGGGCCTTGGACGACGGCGCGTTTGCGGCGGCGGCGGAGGAGTGGTGGCTGAGCGGGACCGCGCAGTAGTGGTGATTGTTGGGCGCCGGGAGAGGGAGCGGGAGCGGGAGCGGGAGCGCGCCGTGGGCGTGGTGGTGCAGGGGCAGGGAGAGGGAGAGGGAGACGGCGGCGTCCATTGTGCTGTGCTGGGGGAGACGAGGAGGAGGACAGCCACAGCCACACGGTTATTCTGCTTGGGGTGGCCCCCGCTGGCGTGGCGACGCCACGGGCTGTGGGTCCCGACGACGGCACGGCCGCACGGGCGCGGGAGGGGAGGATGGGGACGACGTGGTGGAGGAGGCGGACACGCACACGGCGCCGGTGAGCCGGGCGGACTGGATCGGGGACGTGGCGCCGCCTCCTCCTCAGCGGTGGGCCGCGGCAGGCTGGAACGGAATGCCGTGGGCTGGCTGGGCTTTCTTCCTTCCAGAGACCACCTGTTGGGAGCTGGGACCAAACCCGAGAGGATAGCCCACCGGACTCCGATCCTCCACGGTTTGGTTGGCTTCGGCAGGTCAATCATGTGCCCATGTCGTCCTGCCGCCGATCGCCGACATGGTAAAGGTACACGAAGCATGCAGATCCAGTCAGAGTGCTCACTGCATACACTTTTTTTTTTTTCTTCAAAATCTAGAGTAGTTCTGTTTGCTCCTATAAACACGTGCACTGCAGGAGCTAGACGGCGAATCTCACCTAAATCGAGAACTTAGGTATGGGTGGGTTGTACCATAAAGAACTGACCAATTGAGACCCGTTCGCTTCGCTGAAAAAACAAGCTGAAACACTGTTCCGCTGATTTATTGTGAAAGAAAAACACTGTTTCGGCTGAAAAAACAAGCTGAAAAAGACAGATTATAAGAGAAACAAACATGGCCTTTACACTTAGTTCGCCATTAGATGCACTTTATCTTCCACATGGCCTTTACACTTAGTTCGCCATTAGATGCACTTTATCTTCCCTTTGATTCAAGAAAAAAAATAACCTGATCTTGTTGGTAGAAGATAAACAATTAAAAGTTTCTTTTGAATCTACAAGAAATACTAACATCCATAATATCGAATAAGAATCATGGGATTAAAATATTTTTCATACTTAATCTATTTAATAAAGCTATAAATGTCGACACTATTTTTTATAAGTCAAACTTTAAAGCGGTCTACCTTGTTTAAAACATAAAATTGTATTTTTTTTAGAACCAATGAAGCATGAAGCAGCAACATCGCAATAATTTTTTTTAAACGGACAAGACAATCATTCATCATATTATATAGGGAGAAGGCATAAATCCAAAATGCACAGATAAAGAAACAAACCAAACGAAACAAAAACAAGAGGAACCCCCCCCCCCCCCCCCACCCCAAAAAAAAAACCATGCTCGAAGACTTTTCTTATGACTTGTTTGGATCATATACACTTCAATTCATATGTGTTGAGTGTAGCCAAACAAGATTTTAAGGTGCACCGCACCTATACCACCCCGAATCATGGTATATTTCTTTATTTTCGCCACAAGACATTGAACATAGGTGTTTATTTAAATAATGATATGTTCAGACATTTAGATCTACTTGTCGCTCTTCATGCAGGGTTGGGTTAGGTCTATTTGGGACTGCTTCGTTCCACTTTTTTGAGCTCCGCTTCCAACTTCGCTAGTCAAACAGGGATAACTCTATTAGCTTTACAGACTCTGCTCCAAGGAAAAGAATTAGAGTTGAGGGTCAATTCTAGGTTTTTTCTGGAGCCCCTAAACGATACTCCAGAAACTTCATGTTTTTTTTGAAGTTGTTCCATGACAGAGTGTATAGAGCAGAGCTGGTTTTAGTTAAGTGGAAACAAGATTTAAGTTGATAGAGTTGACAATGGGCTAGTACCGGTGCCAGAAAGAAGATGGATCTATTGTGAAAAATGAACATCTCGCACCGTGCAGAGAGCTTCAGCGTACAAAATTACGGACACTGGTGCCATTTAGAATCTTTAGGTCCGACACAAAATGAAATATCTTTGCTATACTTCCGTCTGGTATATTTGCTATATTGCCAACAACTACTGCTATAGTAGATTAATAATTTGTCTTTCAAAAGCTGGAACAGGCTTGATTGCTCACTGCTCTCCTCTTTCCGACATCATTTTGAGTTGAAATCATCTGTCGTGCCAAGTGTCATCGGAGTGCAAATGAGATAGCCCATGAACTGTGTCGGTTTGGTAGAAAAGAGCTTTCATATGTTATTGTTGCTAATGACATCTCGATCTGCGTGTCGGTGGTTTTAGCCTGTGATTGTAGTCATGTTGACCTTCTATAATTAAGCTCTCCCCTTTCAAAAGAAAAAAAGAAATCATCTGTCACGATGGTAGGAGTGATGTTCCAATCCCCTCTCTTTTCTTTGATGCCCTAATACTCTCTTTAATTTATTCTTTGGCCACTTAGTATTAATTTGTGGCGTGAAAATAAATGTACGTCTATAGGGTGTTCACTAGTACATAAAGCTTAATGGAGGCGGACGTTTTACATTTCTGGAGGCCATTGAAAGGTCACTGTAAATCAAGAAACTACGCAGGCGGTCGAATAGTCCACCTCGGTAAATGTCTGCTTCTGAGGCGGGCAGGCTACAACGCCCGCCTCCATTAATAAAAAATAAAATAAAATAAATCTAGGTTCTAGAGCTAGCTCCAGCTTTGGTGATGGCTCCAGAGTCCCATCTGCCGCCGCTGTCCGTGCCGGCTCTCGTTCGTCCGTTGTTCGCCCAGATCCGTCAAGGCCGTCGTCGTCGCCAGATCTACAAAGGGGGGAGAGAGAGAGAGAGAGAGAGAGAGAGAGAGAGAGAGGAGTGAGGGACATGAAGAGGGGAAGAGAGAGGAAGATGGGGAGAGCCATACCTGAACCGGCTGGATTCGGAGAGAGAGGGACCGGAGGAGGTGACGCCCTACGCGCTGAGGGAGGAGATGCGGCCCCATGCGCCGAGGGGGAGGAGACCTGTGCTGCCGCCAGGGAGCAGACCCGCGCCGAGGAGGGAGGAGGGAGACCCACGCGCCGTCGTCCGCCTGCTACTCCGGTGCTCCATGGTCGCCAGCGCACGCGGTTGAGGAAGAGGGAGGGAGGCGCTTCTGCTTGTGTGGTGAGAGAGAGGGATGCATGGGGGGAGAGAGAGGGATGCGTGCGGCTGAGGTGAGGAAAACCGAGTGATGAGTGCGGTGGTTTCAAACCATAACTCCTAAGAGGCCCGCCTCCTAAAATGGATCCATTTTTGGGAGGCCCGCCTTGGTAAATTGATTTTAAGAGGCGGTCATTTTTCTACCTCCTCCGTAAATCATTTTACTGAGGCGGACATTTTTGACCGCCTTCGTAAATAAAATCGTCCGCCTTGGTTAATCCCTAGGCATTTTATGAGGTGGTTGAACTTTATGACCGTCTCGGTTAATAAAAGTGCACTGCCTTGCAAAATCATTTGTGTAGTAGTGGTTCCCAGTGGACGGTTCTATAATGGTCCTATCCCTGATCGATCTAGCTCATAAAGAAGCTACTCTCATGCATGGAATCCACTCCCATCCTTTATTCTCTTTCCACCATTACCGCTCCGGCCCGTAGGAAGTCTGATGTCAAACTCCCTAGCTGCGAGCTCTGCCAGATTCAGGGTGTCGCATTCGTCCTTGGCCTCTCGCTCGTTGAAGCCACACCTCCTTTTCGGTGGCGACAAACAACTACGACCCGTTGAATGGTTTGATCCTCACTAGATCTGGCATGGAGGAGCAGCCACAGAGCATGGTTGAGAGGTGGCGGGAAGTGGAGGAGCGGGTGGCCTCGATCCTATGGCACGTGGCATGGGAGGAGCTGTTGGCGCACCAGTAGACAGGGCGTGCCGGTGGAGAAAGGATGGCAGATGTCAAGCCCATTCACCGCGAGCTTCTCATCCTCCTCTGGTGGCGAGGCATGGTAAAGTGGAGGGGGGAAGTGACGAAGCTTAGCAGAGCGGGGAGGCTCCGTGACAGCCTGACAGGTGTCACTAGTAGAGAAACGACTTTCGGTTTGCACCTTTAGTCTTGGTTGTGTTGTCGTTCGGTATTAATGTGAGTATTAGTCCTAGGTCTAAATATTACAGGCACCAAAGGCCCTTTTATCCCGGTTGGTAACACCAACCGGGACTAAAAGCCACCATTTAGTCTCGGTTGGTGTTACCAACCTGGACTAAATGTCCTCAAACCTTTAGTGTCACCAACACGGACTAAAGGTGACATTTTAGTCCCGGTTGGTGTCACCAACCCGAACTAAAGGTCTCCACCCGGAACTAAAGGTCCCCCACAGGTTAATTCAAAAGGAGAGCGTCTAAGACTTTGTCACATGTGGTGTGCAGTTGAGTTGGTAAGAAATGTGTCTTCTAGGATTTAAACTATTTTTTTAGTTCCGAGGATGGGCTTTAGTTCATGTTCCGTGACCCGGGATTAAAGGTCACGGCCTTTAATCCTGAATCCGCAAGTCCCTTTTAGAATACCAGGACTAAAGCCAGTTCTCGACCAAGATTGAAGCCCACCTATGAACTGTGTGTGGGTCGGGGATCTATCGGGTGGTGTGATGGGAACAATGGAAGAGTAGTTGGGCTGCGTTTTGTTTACCTGTCATTGTATGGAAATAGAGGTGGTTCTATATGTTGGAGATGCCATAAGAGACATGACGTGTCTAAACGCGCTGTCTAAACGCGCTGCATGCCAATGTTTGGCCCTAGAACGATATACTTCGTTCATATTCTTATACACTAGAGAGAGTGTACTAATAATTATAAAATCTTTCAATCAGTAAAAAATGCATGATTATTCGTCGAGTCTGATCCCGTTTCCTTTTGAAATGGAAGATGGATCGTTCATTAATTCAGGCGTGTATCAACTTGCTGCTCTGTAGGTTAGGGCCTGTTTAGATTCCAAAAAATTTTGCGCAGTATCCATCACATCGAATCTTGCGGCACATGCATGAAGTACTAAATGTAGACGAAAAAAAACTAATTGTACAGTTGGGTGAGAAATCGCGAGACGAAACTTTCGAACCTAATTAGTTCATAATTAGGCACTAATTATCAAATACAAACAAACGGGCTATAGTATCCAAAATAAAAAAAAATTTGGTATCTAAACGCGGCCTTAGCTTACATATACGACATTAACGCCCCCTAGGCAGGCAGGCAGCCATGCACCGCCAACAGGTTCCATGACACCGCTCGTGCCCTCCTGCCCCTACCACCCATGGTTTTGCTTGCGCGAGTTGCAACGACACACACCTCCGGAACCCGACCCCAAGCATGGCAGGCAGGCAGGCAGGCACGCAGCGCGCGTGCAGACAAGCCGCACACGCACGCACGCACATATATATTATGGCTGTGTTTAGTTGAGTGAAAGTTGAAAATTTAGCTACCGTAGTATTTTTATTTTTATTTAGCAATTAGTGTTCAATCATGGATTAATTAAACTCAAAACGTTCGTTTCGTAATTTCTAACCAAACTGTGCAATTAGTTTTTTTTCGTCTACATTTAATGCTCCATACACGTATCGTAAAATTCGATGTAATGAATACTGTAGCACTTTTTGAAAAAACTTTTCGCGAACTAAACCAGGGCTAAGTATATATCAAGGTTTTAAATAGCCGGCGGCTAAAGCATTTAGCTTTCTAGTCCCAAAACAGGCTATAACCGGTTGTAACAGGCTATAGCAGCAGCTAAAGCCTAATTTGTATATAGAAAAACTTAGCTAAATCATTCTCAAACAGCTATATCCGAAGATTTGAAACATTGGTATATATAGCCTCCTCCTGGGACAGCTCCGTCTACCGAACCAACGAGAAGAAGAGGTAGAGAGGAAGAAGAACACGCCTTCTTGTTGGGCGCCATCATCGCCGCCATGCCGCCATAGTACCTAGTAGGCTAGGGGCCAGCATCAGCATCGTCTTCTCTATTCTCTTGTACCGTCTTCTCTGAGAGCAAGACAACTGCAAGCAAGGCATGGAGATGATAGTTTAACAAGCAGCTTCTTTCTCTGGAAAGTGCGTGCAAGGCGAGTAGCGTGGGAGGGGACTACCATGCTATAGCAGCTGCCTTGGTAGCTAGAGAGTGAGTGTGTGTGTGTGTGTGTGTGTGTGTGTGTGTGTGTGTGAGAGAGAGAGAGAGAGAGAGAGAGAGAGAGAGAGAGAGAGAGAGAGGCTTGTCGTTGGTGTCCACGCGCGCACATGCAAGAGACCAAGGTCACGGCGGCGGAGGCGATGGAGGACGACGAGGAGGAGGAGGGGTACGTGAAGGTGGGCACGAGGTTCTACCGGGTGACGATGAGGCCGACCGGCGCCGGCGGCGCCGTGGTGCGTCGTCGCCTCCACTACCTCGAGTCCTGTTACCTCTGCAAGGAGAGCATCGCCTGCGACCGCGACGTCTTCATGTACAAGTACGTGCGTGCGTGCCATCGCGCCATCGGTGTCTTCCTCACTCTCATCCCCTCCTTAGTCCTTATTCCTTGTTCGTTCCATCACACACGCACCCCATGGTGGCATGGTCCATGGAGGCATGGAGCCATGGCGTGCGGTGTGCCCGGTGTCTTGGTTATGGCGCGCCCGGCCCGCGTGTGCTGAGTGCTGACTCGTGCGCCCGCGCGCGACGCAGGGGGGACGCGGCGTTCTGCAGCGAGGACTGCAGGGACGAGCAGATGGACATGGACGAGGCGCTCCACGCGGCGGCGCGGCGCCACCGCCTCCTGCAGCGCGCGCCCGCGTCGTCGTCGTCCTCGCTGGCGGCAGCTGAGGCGGCGGCGTCGACCAGGCCTCCGCCGGTGATGCGCCGCCGCCCCACCATCGCCAACCTCGCCGCGCGCAACCCGCCCGTGGCCGCCAGCTAGCTACCTACACCTAGCCACAGGCGGCGGGCACTCGAGATTATTGAGCATCGTGCTCGTGCAGCAGCGAGGACCCTGCAGTGCATGCAGTTGCACCGATGGTCAGGCCGTTCGTGCCTGTGCGCGCGTGTCGTCGCGGGATCAGTAGGTGATTCTTTTCTGCCGCCATGGATGAGTTGCAGCAGGACTGACGACGAACGACGACATGCATCTGGACGCTACGTAGAAACGAATAACCAAGCTTTGTGATGACTTAGCTACCTGCCTACCTACATGTACAAAATCAGTAGTACTTAATTAAAAGATTAATTACTACCATGTGTTCTTGAGCTTTAATTTCTCGCTTCATTTCATCTTCTTCGTTTTACTGTTTATTTCATTTCTTGCGCCTTTTTCTTCCCATGAGGTCGATCGATGTGACTGCTTTTGAATGGACGGATGAGAAATTCAGAACAATGTGAGTTAACAAGAGATATGGTTGAGGTGCCACGACATGCACAGAGCACACACACTAGTCTTCCATTATTCCGGCAGCTAATCCTAACCTTTATTTGTCCTAAACACCTATAATCTCACTTGTACTACCTGGCTAACCTTTTTTTTTTCTCAGGGCTTAATTAGGCTGAAAGATTTCAGACGCCTCATCTTTTCATCCTTCGCTTCTGTCTTCTGATTGATGACAATTTTTGCTTCTGTTTTCCTGCTAAAACTAATTGCAAGAAGTGGCAGCTAGCAATACACAAGGGCGGCGCATTATATAATAATAATAATTATAATTAAGCATCATGTTCCTTTGCTTTGCAGCAATCACAGGTACTGATGAAAAAGCAAAAGCTCACCAGCCATTTATGTCCTTATGTGGGAAAGAAAAAGGAGGGCAGTGCACAGTGTTTAAGTCACAGTCAAGGACACTGGCAGAACAAGTGTGAATGTTTTCTAGTTGCACATATTTCTTCCCTTGGCATATATATATATATATATATATATATATATATATATATATATATATATATATATGTCTTGTTCGCTTGGCTGATAAGCCATGGCTGAAAGTACTGTTAGCTGATTTGTTGCGAGAGAAAAATATTGTTCGTTGACTGAAAAAATACGGCTTATAAGCCAAATGAATAGGACGATCATCGTCTCTGCACTGACCATTATTAGTCCACCAGGTTCCACAAACAAACTACTTCTCTTTTCCAACAAAAATACAATTTTAGAATAGTGTTAATAAGTAACTGATTTGAAGTTTGACCAAATTTGAATTATTTTAAAAATATACTAATATGAGCAAAATCAAACTAAATATATGTATAGTTAGATTCTTCATGAAATATTATAATATATTTATTAGAGTCATGCATATGTTGATAATATGTCCTATTTAGAGTCACGAAATTCTTTGACCATACCTAAAACTAGATCTTTTTTTATGACGGAGGTATATTTTTTTCTCACACAAACCAGCCAGCAGTACTTCTTCACGAATCAGCCAACCGAACAGGCTGAAGGGCTGGTTCGTTTCGTTGCTGGTTCGTGAAGAAGTACTGCTGGCTGGTTTGTGTGAGAGAAAAATACTGTTCGGCTGGAAATTTACGATCGTTTACGACAAGCCACAGCCAAACGAACAAGCTGAATGTTTCATTGATCTGCAGGTCAAAACGTGATGCATCACCGTTCAATGATTTCAGACACTACAATTTATAACAAATTACCGCACCAATGTACTTTTGACCTTGAAATGATCCATGTTGAATACCGTGAGCAAATGAGCAGACATATATGAGCAAGTGGGAGTAACACTACCTTCAAAACACTCAATGATCCAAGCACACCCTTAGCACTACTTTTCCGGGATCCAAATTTACAAACAAATCAGAGGAAATCCAAAATTCAGCCGACTATACGCCCATATAGGTATGCGAGTTGCAATATTTTAGGAGCTGTTTTTGGGCAGCAATCTTAAACAACCCATTAGTACACACTATTAGAACAACTTACAAGAGGTAATTCATAATTTTTTTTTCCAGTGTCAAACAAAAGCAAAGTTACATGTTGCCATAACAACTACAAAACATCCCTAGTGACTCATGAGTGCAGCCAATGAAAGCCCAACACAAAGTTAAGAGAGGCCAAAGCCATGATTGTAACAGGTCTTGAATCCAAGTGGATGCAGTGCGTACGAGAATCCGTCGTCTTCGATCGTGGATGCTTCCGGGCTAGACTAGAAATTTAGTGTGACGTTAACAACTTAACATGCGAATAGTGCAAACAATATGATGCCTTTGGAGATATTCCAAGAGCTCGAGTGTGACTGCAAGAAAAAGGGGCGAGTGAGTCATGTGCCCCCTTGGCTCCCTCACCTTGCTCACCACCACCATGAGAAGGACAAGAGGGCCTATCAAGCTTGCAAAAGGGGAGCGGAGATGGTGGCTGTTTTGGAGATACCTTTCTCTGAGCAGGAAGTGGAGGAGGCTCTCTTTCAGATGGCGCCAAGCAAGGCTCCAGGAGTAGACGGTTTTAACGCTGGCTTTTTTCAGACCCACTGGCAGCTGGTTAAGGGGTGTGTGGTGCCTACGATTTTGGGTTTCCTGAATGGAGGTGAATTACCTGCGGAAGTAAACAAGACTTTGTTGGTGCTTATTCCGAAGGTCACGAATCCGCAGGATTTGTCTCAATACCGCCCAATTTCTCTTTGCAATGTTTTGTACAAACTGTGCTCCAAAACGTTGGCAAACAGATTGCGGCGGATTCTTGATGATGTTATATCGGAAGAACAAAGCGCCTTTGTGCCGGGGCGCTTGATCACGGATAACGTGCTGATTGCATATGAAAGCATTCATTATCTTCGGAAAAAGAAGGGGAAGACAGGAGGCTGTGCTATAAAATTAGACATGGCAAAGGCATATGATAGAGTTAAGTGGAACTATTTGCGAGCGATCATGGAGGCGTTGGGGTTTCCTGAAACTTGGTGCTCGCTGGTTATGAAATGTGTTTCATCAGTCTCTTTCTCGGTTAGAGTTAATGGAGTTTTCTCGGACAGTTTTACAACAACACGTGGAATTCGTCAAGGAGATCCGATCTCACCGTATCTCTTCTTGCTGTGCTCTGAAGGGCTCTCTTGCATGTTGAAAAACATTGGGCCCTTATATATCTCAAGAGGTGTACGGGTGAGTACGAAAGCACCTTGGATTTCTCATCTCCTTTTTGCTGGCGATTGTTTGATTTTCACTTAAGCATAAAAAAGGGGAGCAGAGCGTGTTGCCTCAATCCTAGATGGTTATAACAAAGGATCAGGCCAATCGGTGAATAAACAAAAATCAGCAATCTTTTTTAGCCCCAACTCTGAACAAGAGTGTAAACAAGAAGCACAAGCAATTCTGCAAATTCCGAATGAAGCGCTTGGTGAAAGATACTTGGGTCTACCCACTTCAGCTGGGCGGGGTGCTTCTAGTGCTTTCAACTGTGTGCCAGCCCGGGTGAGGGGTTTTGTCGGAGGTTGGGCAGAGAAGGATTTGAGCTGTGCGGCGCGAGAGGTGCTGCTGAAGGCTAATGCACAGTCGGTGCCTACATATCCGATGACGTGCTTCAAATTGCCTCTTGTAGTTTGCCGAAAGCTGACAACGGCTGTGTCGAATTACTGGTGGGGCAGTTCCCTGGACAACCATAAAATTCATTGGCTGCGGTGGGAAAAATTGACACGACCAAAGTGCCAGGGAGGTATTGGCTTCAGAGATTTCTCACTTTTTAATCAAGCAATGCTTGGCAAGCAAGGGTGGAGGCTGATAATGAGACCGAGCTCGCTGTGTGCTAGGATTCTGCGAGGGAAGTATTTTCCTAACGGTGACTTCCTCACAGCTGCCAAAAGGAGGCGTTGCTCGGAAACTTGGAGGGCAATCCTACATGGAAGAGATGTGTTAAAGAAGGGTCTGATCATGAGAATTGGACCGGGGGAGGTAGATATTTGGCAAGATAACTGGATCCCAGGCTTGAGGCCCTTCAGGCCTCTGGTTCACTTGCCAACAGCTGCTGTCGAACGGGTGCAGGACCTTTTCGTTCCTGGCACGCGTGTTTGGGATGAGCAGCTCGTGCGTTGATCGTTTGTGGAACCGGAGGCGGCGGAAATTTTGAAGATCAAGCCCGGTATGTCTTTGGTGTCTGATGTCAAGGCTTGGGCGTTTGAGAAGCATGGGCAATATTCGGTCCGCTCGGCTTACAGATCGCTCAAGGTTGAGCAAGCGGCAATGGCCATGGCCGCGACGGGTGAGACCGGGGCCTCCGGGGAACGCCAACACTGGCAAACGGTCTGGAAGCTGGACGTACCACCGAAGGTCCGTGTTTTCTGGTGGCGGGTGCTGCACAATTCGCTGCCTTCAAAGTTTGAGCTGAAAAGAAGGCACGTCGCCAAGGAGAGCTTCTGTGAGTATTGTGGTGATCCAGAAGAAACCTTGTATCATGTAGCAATCCAGTGTCCGTTGGCTAGAAGATTCTGGGCAGAAGTAAAAAAGGTTGAGGAGATGACGATTCCAAATTTTCATCCAAGTACATGGGCAATGGATGTGCTGCAGCCGGAGTTCTGTAACTCTAAGACAGCTGCGCTGGTGGTATGTGGTGCCTGGACGCTGTGGACAGGCCGAAATGCAAGATGGCATGGGCGCAAAACTTGGGAACCTGGAGCAGCGTTGCGGTTCGTCTCAACACTGCTGCAGGAGCTTGCAGCGCTGAAGGTGCCAAAGGAACCGAGGCTGCCCAGGAGGCCGGAGAAGCGGAGAAGCCCGGAGAAGGGGTGGATCAAGGTGAACACTGACGCAGGCTTTGACACCACGGCTTGTTCGGGAAGCTGCGGTGTGGTGATACGTGATCAGACCGGCCTGGTGAAGGCTACAGCGGCACGATGGCTTGATGATGTGCCGGATGCACCGGCGGCAGAGGCTATGGCAGCCAAGGAAGGGCTTGAGCTTGCAGCGGAAAATGGCTATGACAAAGTTATCCTTGAGATTGATTGCAGTGGCCTCAAGACGCTGCTAGACGGTGATGATGGTATGAGATCGGCTATCGGGGGGCCTTTGTTTCGATATTACAGAACTAGGCAGGAGTTTTGTCGACTTTCGTGTTGCGTGGGTGCGTAGGAAGCCAACTCGGTGGCCCATTGCTGTGCATGTATGGTGTCGGCCACCGAGCGCTCGTTTTTCTGGCTCGACTATACCCCCGATTGGTTGTCGGGATTAGCAGTCGCTGATTGTACTCCTGTTATTGATTAATGGAAGCTCTGTAATGCTAAAAAAAAGCTTGCAAAAGGGGAGGATTAAAGATTGAAGAGTGCACATCACGAGATGGAGACGAGGAAGACAGATGGAAAGGCTGGGGATTCTTCTACCTGATAGCAATGTGATCTTTATTCTGATTTCTAACATTATGCAATAAAGTGTGTTAGCCTTTGGATGGTTTTCCTCCATTGCCACTTCAAGAGAGGGACATATGATAAAATTCTACTTTAGATATGGTACCAGTCCCAGTTTGAAACTCTACTGGCGCTCTGTGGAGGGGAGGAGCTGCAGACTCTAGGATACTCGTTATCCTTTCTCTACAAGATTACAGCAGAAAATTTTAGTGAGAATCCTACTTACAATTTCTCAAACCGTGCAAGATTTACCAAGCTCTGAGGTAGTAATATGGTATATACGGTCGAACAAAAACACATATATCCATAACAAGAATGAAACAAAACAAAAATAAATAAATAAATAGAAGAACAGATGAACTCGGAGCAGTTTGATGATATCGATTGGTATGGTACAAGTAACTCTGCACCCAACTAGGATCAGGATAGAACATGTTGGAAACAAAAGGATAGCTATACTCTGTAGCAATCTGATCCTATTCTGACCCTGTTTTTGTCCTGTTCAAAGTTCAACTCCAAAGTGAAAGATGGTAATGACCACCTCAGTCAAGCTTTCAGGCAAGCCAAATTGTCCGGTTTTGTTGAAAAAGTGCACCTGACTGAATTATCCGAGAAGCATAAAACAACATGAGTTTTCTGTAGTCAGGATAACCCAATATGGCCCCTTTTCCTAGAAGGGATTCCAGTCAGAATCACTATAATAATAGCACCTCAACACAATATCACTGAATATTTTTGCTTCCTATTTCTAGCACATGATATTTGTATCTGCAAATACCTGATTGGAAGGAAAAAAAAACTTTGAAAGGAATAGGTTTATTTTTCCCATAAAGTTCATCAGGAATTGATGTTTTCCATATGGGCCCAGCAGGTTTCATTAGAGGACAGCAAAAGAATGGACACCCATGTTTAAGCACGCATACGCGAAGAGAGCTCAGCATAAAAGATACCAAAAGACAAACAAGCATCAAAACGAAACATCCAATCTCAGCCCAGCCCAGCTACTACAGAGAACTAATTGCCAAGAATGAATTATTGTGCTGAGGAAGACAAATGCATTCCAAAGGCATCTGCGACACGTAATAAACAGAAAAGAAAAAGTTATATTCCCAAAATATCTATCCACATTTCCAGCTGATTTGTTGCAAGAGAAAAATATTGTTTCGACTGAAAAAAAAACCCTAAAAAGTACGGATTATAAGAGAAGCGAACAGTACCATACAGATACTATGTTCACAGTTCCATAATCGAGTCATCCTTGCCTGTGCAGGCAATCACAAACAGTAGACATGAAAAAACAGAAGATTGGCACCGTGGTAGCATAGTTTCCTCAGGTTTTCGACAAGCGGTCATGATAGCTCATCAGAAAATAAATACTCATTATCCCTTATCTGTCACAGAAAAAAAATCTGATCTGATGACTATGAAGTCTATATTAGTGAAGAAATTCAAATGGAGTGTGATTCCATCTCATTTGAAGAAGCCATGAGAAGCATTCACTCGTCTAAATGGCAAGAAGCTATAGAAGATGAAATGAAATCAATGAAAACCAACGATGTTTGAGACTTAGAATAAATTTCTAATTGAGCTAAAATAGTATGCTGTAAATGGGTCTACAAGACAAAATGTGACTCCAAAGGGAATGTAGAAAGATATAAAATACGACTTGTAGCAAAAGACTTTACGCAAAGAGAATGAATAGATTACAATGAGAGTTTTTTCTCCAGTCTCATGCAAGGATTCCTTTAGAATCATAATGGCGTTAGTGGCACATTGCACTTTAGATTTACATCAGATGGATGTAAAGATGGCATTTCTCAACGGAGATTTGTATGAAAACATTTATATGGCACAATCCAAAGGTTTTGTCATGGAAGAAAAAGAACGTATGAGATGTCGCCTGTAGAAATCCATTTATGGATTAAAACAAGTCTCTAGACAGTATTATTTAAAGTTGATGAAACAATAAGAAAATTTGTGTTTAAAGAGAATGAGAAAGATAATAGCGTTTATGCAAAGTTCAAGAATAGAAAATTTATTTTCCACATCCTGTATATAAATGACATCCTACTCGCTAATAGTGATGTTAATCTGCTATAGGAGAAGAAGTTCTTGTCTCCAAGTTTCAATATAAATGAACTTGGTGAAGCGTCGTTCGTTCTAGCAATTGAAATTCACCGAGATAGAAGAAAAAGGGGTATTAGGACTATCGCAAAGGCATACTTAGAAAAGATTCTAAAGAAATAAAGTATGCATGCGAGTAAAACTACGTCTGCTCCTATAGTAAAGGGTAATAGATTTGGAAACTTTCAGTGTTCCAGGAACCGATGTGCGATCAATCAAATGAACATGGTTTCATATGTTTCAGCTGTTGGAAGCTTTATGAGTGCACAAGTAAGAACTTACCCTAATGTAGTTCACGTATCCGGGATGTTTTGGTAAAAGTCTAGTCCAGATATAGATCACTGGAATAGAATTAAGAATGTCTTGCAGTTTTGCAAAGTATTAAAGACTTCATGACGAGTAAGGAAGAACAAGTACTCTCAAATAGTTATAGGTACAAATGTTAAACTTCGGCGAGATGTGTAGAGAAATCCACAATAGTTACTAACACTCGTAGTTGGAGTTTTATTGTGGAAAAGCTCCAAAAAAAATAGTTGTGGTATCATCAATAATGCATACCCATAGTATAGCTTGTTATGAAGCTTCAGGGACAGGCAAAAGTGGTTAAGGAAATTTGTATCCGGAATTAACAATGATAGATAACAGCAATAACCATTTAAAGTAATTCACTCCTATGACAACAGATCAAGTGTGCTGTCAAACACATTAACAGTAAGTTGTATGTTGTAAAGGAAAAAATCTAGAATCATTTTGAAAGCATTTGGGCATATAAGTGCCGAGCAAGTACTTGCGGATCCGCTTATCAAAGGCTTACCACCCAGTGCGTTCAAAAAACACACAGTCGACATGGGTTTACGGGAAAGTCTATGATTTCTGGATACTAAGGGCCTAGAATAAGTTAAAGATCTGTTTCAAAATAGAAAGGTGCATTGTAGCTGTTAATCTGACGGTACTAACTGTCATGACGAGGCACGCTCTATACACTGATCTATAACGAAATGGGTACCAAGTTAAGTGTTAAGTTTAAGTCTAAAGTTCAAGAAATAAGGTGAGATCGAGGAGGAGATTGTTAGGATTGATCTCAGCCAGCCCGGTCCAACGATCGGGGCTGGGCCCTGATCTTGCGCTCTGATCGGGGGCGCACAAACCAACCCATAGTTGGTGGGCCCCCGTCGTGCAGCGTTATAAAAGGAAGGTGGGGGCCGGGGCTCAGGACACGAGGTTCATGGTAGCCGCCACAACCCCACCATGGTCCTAACCCTACCGATCGAGGGAACGCTGACAGCGATGGGAAGTGCTACCACCTTCGACACCCTCGCGGGCACGTCAGCTACCCCTGCCACGTCGCTGCTACCTCGTTGGCGGCGCCATGGCCGCGACTGCGTTTGATGAGGTACATTAACAAGTTCTCTATCTAAGTTGAGTTTTACCCGCTAGATCTGTACCTAGAGGTCGAATCAGTTTTAACAATTTCAAGTTGCAGCAATGGAAATGAAGTATTGGATTTTTACCTTTAAACACATAACAGAATCAGTGGTACACTTTAACAGATCAAGCAAAAGCCTTGCGCTCCCTCCCCAACTCAAATCCACACAAGAGCAAATCTTGCGAGCAGCCTGCCACCAGGAATGAAAAAAAAAACATAATGTCGCAGTTAACCAGCTAGTATATATAGCACACTGATTTGGTGAATAGCAAAAGGAAATCAGTCGCATCGTGACACATACTGCCAGCAAATGCTGAATCATTTGCGCGTTCACGCATTGCTCTAACGTAGAGGCACAGAATCTATGCACCAGATCAGCACTGAATGACGAAGACTCGGCAACAAGGAAATAGCTGCACCGGGCCATTGCATTGACAAGCAGGGTGACGTGTTCAGCCAGAATCCTGCACAAAAACATGTATAAGCTCCTCGTAAGCCCACTCAGCGTCTTGTTTAGGAAATTCCGAAACCGAGGTTGGCGATCTCACCGAAGCCATGGCTGGAGCTGCTCAACGAGGACGAGAACACGTTCGTAAGTGGCGGGTTGCCTCACCTTCCCCTTGCTGGCACAATTAGCCAGGCAGACGGTGAGCTCGACCCCGAGCACGGCGACATCAGGGTCCGTGCCAGCCTCCCCAACGACGCCAGGGTCCGGAAGAATAACGGAACCGACACTCGCAGGGCCGGCGCGCCGCCGTGACCTGGTTCTCGTCGTCGTGGGCGGAGAGAGCGCGGAGCGGAGGGCGTCCAGTGCGGCGGCCGCCTCCGCCCCGGCGCGCGCGAGGCGACCGAGCGACTCGAGGCAGCACGGCGTAGGGCTTCCCCGCGAGGTGGGCAAGTGCGCGGTGAAGGGCTGGAGGTAGGCAGCGTAGCGGGAGTAGAGGCCGACGTGAGAGGACGGCGACGGGGACGAGAGGGCGGCGAGTAGGTCGGCGGCGGTGGCCTGCATTCCCGTGCGCGAGCAGCGGAGGAGCCGCGTGGCGGCGTGGGGAAATTTGTATTAGGAGGGGGAAGTATTAGGAAAGGATAGGAGTATAGTGCATCCTGTGCCGGGCCCAATGGGAGTGCAGGTGCTCGGAGCCTGGCCCGTGTGGAAGGAAACAGGCTGCTGGCGAGCGCTTTCGGCTTCCGGTGCCTCCGGGGAAAAAAAAATCTGCATGCGTGATGCACCGAGACGGCCGTATAGCGTACAGCACCGCATGGATGCCGTCCACTTGGGCAACGAAGGGCAACCGGGTCCGTCGCCGCAGCTTCCGGCCGCGCCGGGGCCGAGGAAGACGAGAGGGATCGAGGGAGAGGCAGCCCCCGGAGCCCTTCGCGAAGGTTCAGGAATGGTGCACTGGGTTAGCGACAGTGATGGCAGTGACAAGTTCGAATGGGAAAGTGATGGCAATTGGGAGGAGGCAGCGAGCTTCAACGCTGCTGGTGCGCCGGTTGGGCCATCTGCCGCTTTGGTTCAAAGTATCGTGGATTATTTACTGCTAGCTAGTTTGGTGTGAGAGAAAAACACTGTTTCCGGCTGAAAATTTACGATCGTTTACGAGCAAGCGAACAGGGGACATGGGTTTCACGGTGTTTTGGTTCTAGAAAAAAAAAAGATAAAAAACTTGTGCAGGCAACCACAAACAAAAGAATCCAAATTTAGAAAAAGTGCCCCATGGCAGCTTGGTTTGTTTAGGTTTTCCATAACCACAAGACGTACTCAAGCCTATGCCTGAAGACTGGTGTACAGTGTAATGATGAGCTCAGTAAAGCAGTGACGTCATCAAGAAAGTAATCACAAATCAAGAGCACGATGCATCAACAGCAAGGCTATGCGTGAAGACTGGTGTACAGTGTATTGTTGATAAGAGAAAGAACTGGTAGTCAGTAGTCACGGCACATATCAAATGATACCATCTCTCATTTCTTTAAATTCAAAGTGCAGCCTCCCTAAAACAGAAACCTACAAAATATAGGTCTGATTCCTTTGACCTTCCTCTAACAATCTTTCTCCTTGCTGAACACTTCTAATAGCTAATCAAATCATTTATGATCATCACACAATCTTGTTCTTCGCATTGCAGACCGGGACCTGCAGAGAAGGAAAGGGGGGGATCACCATGTAAGTCCGCATGTAAATTCTTATTGACTCGGTTGGCAGTTGACGCGTGCTATTTGTGCGAGAGAGATTAAAAAAACATCACGGTGATACGAACAAGACTGAATAGAACCTAACATATAATGAACAATCAGTGATTTCTAGGACTAGGACATTCGTTGTGCTAACACCAGTGCCACAAGGATCATCATCACCAGCCATCTTACTACCTTAGTTTAGTTCTTTGGCTACCGTACATATTGTATAGAAGCTTGAGGGCTTGTGATCTTACCCCCATGGGCCATGGCTCCAATTATTCCCATGCCAGATTAAATTTTTCATGTATGCGACATTTTGTCCACAAAGTCTAGCTTATTGGTGCAAGATAAAGAACAATCTAATCATTACTGCCAACCGGTCTCCTGTCATCCTCAGTCCTTGAAAATTCTACCAGACAACTAGCTAGAATTAGTGTGAGATTATATCGATTGGTTCTGAATAGGCAATGTGGCACAACTCGCTAGAATTAGTGTGAGATTATATCGATTGGTTCTGAAAAGGCAATGTGGCAGTGAATCCTGCCTGCCATGGCTTCAAAACAGGGCAATGAACCAGCCAGAGATTTGCTTCCCGGAACCTCACTAGATTGTCTAGGCATGATATTATAATAAGCATGTTAGCCTACCTCAACTTGTTTGGGACTTAAAGACTTTGTTGTTGTTGTTGTTCGTCTCAAAGAGTAAAATAAAATGATGTGCCCTCATGGACACATATTATCGAAAACAAAAATGAGCACACTACAGAGAAAAAGGCATCTTTAACTTGTTTCTTCCTAGTCTTTTTGCGGTAGGTTTAAGTTTTTTTTCAGTCTAAAAATTTATGTTCAACCTGTATACACATTATGGTAGCAAAAAAAAAAAAAAAAAAAAAAAAAAAAAAAAACTGACATCTCCAAGACTAGTTATTCCATCTACTACCTAGCAGGATCCGCGAGACAAGGTTGAGCACATTTAGATTTAGCACAGCAAAAGAGGAACAAAATACCATACCCCACTACGGCTTGGGTTGAGCATCGGGTTCCGAGGAAGCGGCTGAGGTGGTGGTACACTTGTTGCTGCGGAGGTCGTCTATGATGCCACCAAGCTCGCGCCGCGCGGACTCCCTTCCAAACATGAAGCCATACCTGCAGCACAAGAGGCATGGCGCGGGAGATCTAGAATGCTCCGAACCAACGAGAATCCTCAGGAGGGGAGATTGAGGGGTACCAGAAGGAGACGGCGGAGAAGACTCCCGCGGCTGCCACCGTCTGCAGCAGGGTCAGCTTCTTCGCCTGCATCGCCCGCTGAGAATTGGGAGAGATGGGAGTCGGGTCAGCCGCTAGCAGCACGGTCCACAAATTCACACGGCTCTCTGCTCAGTAAGGTTGCATAGGAGATCCGAGATAGAGAAAGGCCGGGCGAGCCCACCTCCGTTTTGCTGTGCCACCGCGAGGTGTTAGTTGGGGAAGACGAGGCGACCGAAGGCGGCGATGGTTGGGGAGGCAGAAGGACTGAGGATTGGAGAAAGGCTGCCGCCTGCCGGTGCCCGCACGAGACGACCTTCGCCGGCAAGGTAGCAGCAGAATGGGGATGTGCCGGCGGCGGCCGACGAGGGCTTGCGAACTTGCAGTTCTAGCCGAGCCCACGGCCCATGGGATGGAGACGCGACTAGGATGAATGGTTGGGCTGGGCCTTTGGGCTTTTTACTGGCCTTCTCATAGATCGTGAGTTTTCGCATGGAAAAAGTCTATTTTGTCTCTCTCGAGGCCTCAACTATCGTAAAAGTCAGTTTTTCCTCCCTGAATTAAAAAATCAGATATAAATCCTCCATCATCTTTTCAAACTAGACATAAGAGCTCCCTGGCTATTTCTCTACGTTGTTTTTCTCTTTTTATTTTATATTTATTTTAGCTGAATCCTTGAAAAATCATAGTAAGTTAGAAAAATCATAAAATAAAAAAATTAATTTTGTTGTACTCCACATGAATAAGTCTACACGGTAAACATATGATATCGAATGCTTTAGTACAAATTTTTTTTGGGGCTATTGCGTTCTTGTCCCTACTTTGACGTCCAGTTGTGATTTTAACCCAGCTTTTGTCATCGTTGTGATTTTACCCATATTTTTTGAAAACGAAGCTTAAGTTTACCCATATTCCATGAACAGCCGGTAATGGTGTTAAAAGGGCTCAGTAAGGACAAGTTTGTCCATGCAAAATTGCCCCTACTTATCTGAATACATTGTGATTTTATCCCTATTTTAAAAAAATTGGCGATCATCATTGAAGACACACGTGAGCCGACGCCCGTCCTCGGCAAAGCCGACGCCGGGGCGGATCTTCAGGAGCGGCATGGGCGCGGCATTGACGCCCGTGGACCAGCAGTACATGTTGTAGTCACTGGACGCGACGCCAAGACATGAAGTTCTTGCCGCCGACGAGGAAACGAAGGAGATCCGAAGCGCCGTCTGAGTGGTGGTCGTGGGCCCCCAAAGGCTCCAACACACCGCGGTGTGGTTGGGCAATGACCTTGCCTGCGCGCTGGAGTCGCCGACGGCCAGCCGCACCAAGAGGTCCCTTGGTCTGACGCACCGGCGCAGAGCGTTCATATACACGCCGACGTCGTCCACGCCAAGCAGCCGCCGCACGGAGGCAAGGATTTGCATGCTCGGGAGCCCCGTGGTGAGGTATGGCGCGGCGGTCGCGTTGGCGAGCCCCCCACCGCAAGGCGCTTCCTGCGGGCCCCAAAGACGATCGCGAAGACGCGTTGGTCTCGACAGCGTAGGTGAAACCGCCCCGGAGACGAAGCGAAGCGGAATCGTCGTCGGCCTCTGTGAGGAACCGGTCCCGTCGGCAACAAAGGTCGGCCGAGCGGATCGGGGCGTTGTAGAGCCGGCGGGAGCGCCTTCCCCATAAGGCTTGGGCGTGGGCGGCCGATGAAAGAGCGCGCAGGCCCGCCGCGAAGCCGCACACGCTCCTCACCTGCGCGAGACCTCAAATAAGCGATGATGGATCGCATGACGGGTTGGAAGAGGCGGAGGCGTTGGAGGAGTTGGAGTTGGAGGAGCACAGGCTACGCCTGGCCCCTCGTCGTCGCCGCCACCGCACCCCACACTCAAATGCATTGGCCACGGCCGCTGACGCCGGCACTGCCGACCCGACGAACGGGGCCTGGCCGCCCGAGACCACGCCCATGCCCTCGTCGCGTGGTGCAAGGAGTCGCCCAGCCGCACCCCACGCCCACGCCACCCACGCCCTGGCATTCGACGCCTCGAGAAAGTGCCCGCCCAACAACAAACGGGGCCTAGCCACTCGGCGCCACGCCCGTGCCCTCGTCATGTGGCGCAAGGAGCCGCCCAGCCGCACCCCACGCCCACGCCGCCCAGCCGTACCCCATGCCCACGTCGTTGCTAGGGTTTCAGAGGATTGGCGTGAGGAGAATGAGAGATAGAGAGGATACGGTAGAGGATGGGGGATTGGGGAGGGTATGAGTGGATAAGGGGTATTGTTGTCCTTCGGTCTTACTGTGAAGGGTTTTGTTTTTTTTTTGTTTTTTTATTCCAGATACAACTAACAGAGTTAAAAGTAAGGGTAAACTGAGTTTTAGTAGTTACAAAGCAGGGGTAAAATCACAACGATGACAAAAACGAGGGTAAAATCACAATTGGACATTAAAGTAAGGGCAAAAACACAATATTCCCATTTTTCTAGCTTTAGATTTATACTTTTCTGTGATTAATTCATAGATGCAATTTATGTGGTCCTATTGCGGTGAATTTTTTATGGTGGCCTAATCATGTATGCTTGGGATGTAGTAAAAATGTAATGCTCG